CAGTATCCTTCCCCTGGAGTGGGGAGGGAATGGAGCTTTTGCAGTATCCTTCCCCTGGAGTGGGGAGGGAATGGGGATTTTACAGTATCCTTCCCTTGGAGTGGGGAGGGAATGGGGATTTTACAGTATCCTTCCCCTGGAGGGGGGAGGGAATGTAGATTTGGCAGTATCCTTCCCCTGGAGTGTAAACCGTCTATATGGCCTTCTTGCTCCCTAACCCGCTCTCTCTCTTTCTCTCTCTCCCCGATTTCTCCTGGTTTTCCCAGGGAAGCTCTCCGCTGGACCCTCTTCACCATGCAAACCACGGGTCACATCCTGCTGGGCACTTCCTGTTACATGCAGCAGTTGCTGGACACTCCAGAAGGACAGAAGGAAGAAGCATTGCCCTCGCTGTTCCTTCCTTCTATCCCTCTCCCCTCCTCTCTCACCCGGAGAATGTTGCAATGAATGTCGGATGCGCGTGTCTAAAGGACAGAGATATTTTTCTGCTCCCCTGCTGCTACGGACTCCGAAACCCCTGGGACGATGGACATCCTACCACACAGGGCACCCACAGAGATCCCAGAGGGAGCCAAGGGCACAGCCACCCTCAAGACATTTTGAAACACAGCCACCAAGACATTTTGACTTTGTAATCGGATTTTAGGCCAATTCACTGGTCACTTTGTAAGTTGTAATGTGCATTTTTTCTCCTTGTCCGGCTTTGCAGCCAGAATTTGTGCTGAAAAACACCACGGTTTTCACCTTTCCTTATTTATATCTATATATATGTATATGTATTTTTTTTCCCCCAACACGCACAGGTAAAATACACAGCCAGCATGATGCCTCGTTGACTAGTAATATTACACTGTAAATGTGTGAATTAAAAAAAAAGAAACGTTTTCTTACACCGTGATACGGATCCTTTCCTTTCTCCTGCCCTTATTCTCCAATGTTTAATAGAAAATACATTTGCAGTTGCTTTATGGAACGGAAGAAAACAGAGCTGGGTCCTTGGCTTACGTCCACAAACTTGAGACCACAGAATTTCAGTTGCTAATCAAGACGATGGTAAAATGCCCTACCTTAACAACCTTTCTGGCCGCCGTTTTTAAGTGAATCGCCGAGCTTCTAAGTTAGCAATTTGGTTGTTAAGTGAACCTGACACACACACACCCCGTCGACTTTGCGGGCCAAAGGTTGCAAAAAGAGATGACGTGACTCTGGGACCCTGCAACCGTCATAAATGCGAGTCAGTGGCCAAGCGTCTGAATTTTGATCACGTGACCATAGGGAGGCCACAACGGTCGTAAGTGTGAAAAATGGTCGTAAGTCACTTTTTCCCACGCTGTTGTAACTTTGAATGGTCACTCAATGAACGGTTATAAGTTGAGGACTGCCTGTACTGTCATTCTGGTCCCTTTAATCACTTTATTTTTGGGCATTTTTTTTTTTATTAAAGGGAGATTTTGCACTCAACAAGGAGTTCGTTTAGACCGCTCGTACTTACCACGGCATGGAAAAAAGCGACTTAGGACCGTTTTTCACACTTACGACGAAGTGTTGCAGGCATCCCCACGTGATCAAAATTCAGATTCTTGGCAACTGTTCCATCCGTATGACCGTCGTCGTGACATATGTCTGTCCAGTCTCTTCTTGAAAGCTTCCAGTGATGGAGCTCCCACAACTTCTGAAGACAAGCTGTTCCTCTGAGTCCTCGCTGTCAGAAAATTAAGCTCCAGTGATTACGTTTTAAATTATATTAAATAAAAACACAGTTGGAATTGGTGATTCAGGAAGAGACGGGTGACAGGGTGCCAACAGGCAGATTGATTAGAAATGATAATTACGGAATACGAGAGTTGGAAGGGACCTTAGAGGTCTTCTAGTCCAACCTCCTGCCCAAGCAGGAGATCCTATACCAATTCCTGTCCAATCTCTTCTTGAAAACCTCCAGTGATGGAGAACCCAAAATTTCTAAAGGCAAGCCGTCCCCTCTGATTACATCAAGCAACGATTTGGAACTAACCATGGTTTGGCTCATAAATCCATCTATATCTATGTATCCATACACCCATCTATATATATTTAGGATTAGTATAATGTAAACTGCGGACAGATAGGTGGGATTATATAGAGAGAGGTATAGATTGAGATTTGAAAGCTCAGCACCGGGCCAGGATTATCCTCCTTTGGACAACTGTATCTGGCATTTCTCGCTGTCTGGAGGGATGCTATATAAGCACTTTTATGGCAGGCTAAATTCTCTGCTGATTGTGTCCTTTTTTTTGCTTAATGAGTTAATAGCTCTCTGCCTTGCTTCATTTAAAGAAGATTAACATATTTTTCTCGTAGGCTAATGTTCCTTGCTCCCCCTCCTTATTTTATTTTACTGCAGAAAAAAAATTACCAGCAGCCAAACATCTTGCCCAAGGTTTTTGAAATTTGGCAGCTTTAAGAATAGAATAGAATAGCAGAGTTGGAAATGACCCTAGAGGTCTTCTAGTCTGACCCCTTGCTTAGACAGGAAACCCTACACCACTACAGACAAATGGTTATCCAACATCTTCTTAAAGACTTCCAGTGTTGGAGCATTCACAACTTCTGGAGGCAAGCTGTTCNATTGACTGCAACGGAAGCAGAACCCTTTCCCCAAAGAGGTCTGGCAGAAGATTGATAGACTGGGGGAAAAGTCTTTACCCTACAGTTATACATAATATCATGTATCCAATTCTGGTATGAAAAGGATCCCTGTTTTCCAAGACAATAACAGGAGGAAGGAGACAACAAAGCTCCGAAGAAGGGAAAAAAAGAAGCCCCACCCAAGATCCAAACATTTCCAAACATGTTCTAATTGAAGTCTACTTTTTGAAGCAAATAGGAAAGTCACCGATTGCAGCCCACAGCAATGAAGGTAGCGCAATCGTTTGAAAGCATGTTCCGTCGTCGTTGGCTTTGAAACAGCTCCAGTAAAGAGCACGAGAAGAAGGATCAAACGGTCTCTGCACACCTCAAGGTGCTTTTGACTGAAATATTCCTTTTTATGCAATCTTTGTACGGACCTCACTGTTTTTTTTTATCGACAGGGAAAATCAATTGGTAAAGGAATCGAGCCTACATACAAATCGAGATTCACGCCCAACATATATATATATATATATATATATATTTGGAGGTTAAAAAAAAAATCCTTTCAATTTTTGCTTCTCTCCCTTGAGATCAGACGTAATGTTTTAACGGGGTGGGAGGAACAGGAAAACCAATAAAATATTTGTCTTATCTCTCCACACACCCCCCCCCTAGAATCAGTGAAGAAAGCAAGAAAACGATGACTCTTAACACAGCGCATCACCCCTTCTTAACATGAGTCATTCTTGATTAAATTAGCACCACGGCCTGGATTTGGGTAACACCTGCAAGGCATTCCCAACTAATGCAGACCCCCCCACCCCCAGGCTGAAAGTTTGTGCAAAGACATTGCATTGCTTCTCCCAACAAGACTGAAATTAGTAAAGCCGCTAAGAGTACTAGACATTTTTCATCCTCCTCTCTCCAACTGCAATGCAAATCCTTCCCCACACCAATCTCCCAACTTCCCTTTGCAAGGCAACAAAACTTCACACAACTTGAACTAACTCTACAAACCAAAGGGTGAACCATGCTTTCCAAAAATCCAAGTTGGGTTTTACATTCACGCGGTGCGTATACCCATGATTAAGTTCACTACAGTTTATTCAATTAGCTTCATTTTCCAAGCCTCCACCCAATACTCCCTCCCAAACACTAACCACAGAGGGAATCCGTGGCACCCATTTATGAAGCTGCAATAATAAGTTTGGATAGCTTGGTTTCACCAGGAGCCAAGGGGCACAGCCTGTAACGCCCCAACAACCAAAACCTACATTGGTGGCTTAGTGCCAGGGGAGACCCCGGGTCGTGTGCTCTGAGTCTTGCAGCTGGAATCAGCTAAGTCAGAGAATACTTACAACATATTTTGCTGGAAAAGCCATCCAGAAGAGATCTGGGTTTCTGTTTTTGCAAAAAGCACCAACGTCGGGCAGAGAACAGCATGCAGGAGCTCGGGGTGTTAACACTTCTGTTTGGGGCCTTCTCAGGAGTAAGGAGGACATCTTTCTTGTCACCTGCATGCTTGTCACTTCCCCCAGGCAGGTGTGAAAAAGGCAGTCCCCTCTTAACTCACCTGTGCTCCTTTTTGGAGCACATGCCTTCCAGGAGGGAGGGAGAGAGTGGGAAAGCAAACAACTCTAGGCACATCTTGGATTTAAAAGAAACAACTGTTAAAATGTTTTGGCTTCAGGTGGAATACCTCTCCTTCCTTCTTTCCCTCCCCCCCCCCCTCTCTCTTTGGTCCCCAGGCCGGCATCTGTTGAAAAGACCAAAGATCAATCCACTTTGGGGCTATGGTTTCCAAATTCCTAGCTAGTTGGAACTTTAGGAGACAGAGAAACCATGAGGGCAACTATTAACACTTCATGTAATCTTGATTCTATCCCTCTGTTTATGCAGCCTAGAACTGTGTTGGGNTTCCCTGGTTTGAGTTGTGAGCCGCCCTGAGTCCCCCTTCAGGGGAAAAGGGCGGCATACAAATGAAATGAAATACAAATGAAATAAACATTCAAACATGCTCAAAGATCCTTCCTTCCTTCCTTCCTTCCTTCCTTCCTTCCTTCCTTCCTTCATTAATGACAAGGCGGGGAGACTAGAACTCATCATCTCCTGGTGATTGGGTCAAACTCATGTAGCTGGCTTTCGTGCCTAAGATGGGACTAGAACTCACTGTCCCCTGGTTATTGGCCCAAAGTCCCCAAGCTGGCTTTCATGGCTAAGGCACAACTAGAACTCACTATCTCCTAGTGACTGGCCCAAAGTCATCAGTTTAGCCTTCATACATAAGACAGGACTTGAACTCACCATCTCCTGGTGATTGGCCTAAGGTCATCTAGCCAGCTTTGGTGCCTAAGGCAGCACTAGAATTCACCGTCACCTGGTGATTGACCCAAAGTCACCGAGCTGGCTTTCATGACTAAGGCAGAACTAGAATTCACCGTTACCTGGTGATTGGCCTAAGGTCACATGGCCAGCTTTACTGCCTAAGGCAGTGCTAGAATTCACCATCACCTGGTGATTGGCCCAAAGGCACCCAGCTGGCTTTCATGCCCAAGGCGGGACTAGAACTCACAATCTCCTGCTTAGCCAAGTAGAACCAGCCTGGCTCTCTTCAGGTTGTTGAAAAAGAAGCTAAAATAAGTCTGGGGAATTCTGGGAGTTGACATCCACCTATCTTAAAGCTGCTAAGATTAGGAAACACTGTCATGGAGACTATTAAGCATATATCCAATTGCTTTTTCCTGGTGGGATAGATAGGAAATGTAGTTTCCAACGCCTTCCAGCTGTATGCCGCGGGGGCACTCATATTGTCTACTGCACCGCCATCTTGTTTTTCGGTTCTGCACACGCGAAGAACAATTTTAATTGTACTCCGCGCGGCACGCACAGGAAGCACACGGGCAGTAGTGCCTGGCGGAACGCACCCCTGTTTTAGCTGTAGAGTTAAGAAACATCTATAGTAGACCCTAGAGTGGAGTGAGTTGGCCAAGCCCAACTTACGACGGAGAGATCTGGGTCTGTCAACTCCTGTTTCTTTGGCAGCTGAATTTGGAAGAGGGATGCGTCATCGGTGAAGGAATCCCACCGTAACAGCGAGACTCTCGTTCAAGGACTTTCTCTGCAGAGTGGTTGAAAAAAGGAAAGAGAAGAAATATTATCTGATGGAATGCTTGCCTGGGAATTTGG